TTACTTAAATCTCCTCTAGATCAAATGGAGCTTATTTCACAGCTGTTTTCATATTTGCCAGATGTTCATCAGTTTTATTGTTTCACCTTTGGATTCCCTACACTTTGTCTGTATCCACTGCTTGGAAGAGAGCCCATTATTCCAGCTGAGACCCCAACTATACAATGGAAAAGAAATTAACTCCCTTCCATGTCCTTTATTAGTATATCCCAGACTGAAATATCTTGATAAACAAAAAAAAATCTTTAAGTCTTTTGCAATTTAGCACTGACATTAACCCTAAACCTCCAAGCCTCTTTCATCTTTCACATATTCTGGGGTGGCTGGTCACTTTTTCTTATGTACAATACTTTTCCCTTTCTGTTATTGCATTTCAGTCATCGATATCTGGCAATTTCCCATACAGTAAAAATCAACTTTAAACATTATACTGTCTCCCACAGTTCTTGATGTCCTCTTTACTCTTTCATTATGTCATTGAAAACAACAACATGAATACTGAGTAGAATTGTTTTCAGGATAAACCTCACAGAGCTCTAACTTCAAATATCCTCTCTTTTTTACCCCAAAGGACAGATAATGTTTTTTAGCAGGTTTTTTTTTTAAGCAGTGCACTCACTTTATAGAAATGAATCAGAGCTATACCCCATCTGACATGTGAGCACTTAGAATACAACATCTTACTGTTTTTCTACATCTACCAGATCAGCAAAGAAGCCAGATATATAAAGGAGGATTCAACATGATTTGTTCTTGACAAATCCACAATTATTTCCACCACTTTATTATCCACCTGTGTTTTCCCTTTATTTGTTTAGACATTTGCTGTGATAATCCAATTTATCTGCCTGATGAGTTACTTTGTATTTCTTTTTCTTTAAATAAAGGTACTATCTGGAGGCTTCTCTAGGGCTGTGGGACCTCTTGGTCCTCCACAAGCATCTGAAGACAATCACTAATAGTTCAGCAGCTGCTTTGGCAACCTTCAACCACATTTCACCTAATCCTGCTGACTAGAACATTTCTAAGTATTTTTACACCTGCCCTTTCTCTCTTTTGACCTGTGATTCTCTTCCCCTGTTAAAATTAATTGCATCAAAAATCTGATTGCAACTAACCGTGGGAGAGTGAATCTTTCAGCCTTTCCTATGTCACCACAGCATTCAAAAGCTTATTTCATCAAATTAAAAAGAAACATGTTGTTTATATAATACCAGCACCTCAGTAAAGCATTTTCATTATGCACCATCAGACAATTGTCTGATGTAGTTATGATACAGTTGTGTACCCCAGTGATGCTGCTGGATGTGCAGGCCTGGCCCCAGCTCTGCTGATCAGCACTGACCATTGCAACAGGACCACAGGATGTCTCACACGCCCCCACAATCCCCAACACACGCTTAAAAGGGCAGAGATACCACACACAGTGTATGATGTATGAGATTCAAATGCTGCTCCCCAGATCAGGAACAATTGTTTGATTTTACATTTACAAGCAGGAAATCAGAAGTCTTTTTATAACATTCAATATGTGTCTGTCTGGGCTATGGAGCACACACGCTGTGCTTCTCTGCTGAGCTTTGGCTACTGAAATCAGCCAAGTGAGAACATCTGTGCATGGAAGTCACTGAAATGGTCTCTGCCATGTCTGTGCCTGTGTTTTCTTCTTTCTGTGTCCACTGTCTCTCCTGGAGGTGCTATTTATTGCTTTGCAGCACAGACAAGGAAAGGCAAACATCACAGTTTGCAGGGATTATTCTCTCTCTCTCATGCAAGAAAGAGAAGTAAGAACAAATTCAGCTTGCCTCTCACACAGTGATCATAACTGCCAGTTTGAGAAAGGAAGAAAGGAGAGTTATTTTCTGCAGGCAGAGCATTGATTTTTTTTTTCCTGAGTGTGACTCATGAGGCTGTACCACGCTGGGTTGCATGATAGAAGAGGCATCTGGATCCACCATGTGACAAAAAGTCACCCATCACAGGTCATGCACTTCTAGTGGTTGTCACACCTCCTTCAAAACCTTCTACAATCTCCCCTCATAACCTTACATGACAAGCACCACCGGTCAGCAAAAGAAACATTTGAGTGGCAGTTCCACATAATGGGGATTTTGTGGTGGAAGCTACTGAGATTTGATGGGTAGGATTCAACTGATCAGTCAGAAATGTCTGCATTTTAGCTTGTCACCTTGGTCTCACCTCAGGGCATATGAAAGAAATGAAGAATCAGAACAAGGAACATTCCTATCCCAATTTAGACATCTAAAATAGGACAGATGAATCATATCCTGAATGCACTTATTTCTCCCCACAGACTAGAGAGACAGTGTGACTAGCTCAGACGCATATATCGACAGTGCTGATGTTTAAAACTGGAGGAGACAACTCCCAACCACCAGACCTCAGGCAAGGGCTCCAGCAAACCAGAAGGCTGAACTGATCATCCTGATGGATCAATTCAGCTGCATCATACAGAAGTGCCTAGTGCCCTGTTAGGCACCCTAGGACATCCAAAACACTCAGCAGATTTATCTGCTGGCCTCTGACCAAGGGATGCAAAATGTGACCTCGATTAAGCAAACTACCAGGTCAGGCTGCCCACTACAGTGCAGTCCCAGTACAGTGAGTCCCACACACTGCCACAGCAGGTGAGCATCCTCCAGCACAGATTGGTAATGAAGCAGGGATAGAGATCACACAAAGCAACCTGTAAGAATAAGCCAAAAAACAGTACCTAGTGTGAAGACACATTTAAAAAAAGAACAGTTCTGGGAAATTAAAGGTAAAAGAGGGTCACCAAAACCCTCAACAGTAAGGAACAGTCCAGCTAATTATGGTCCGTGTTTGCTTCCCTTTAATCCTTTTTTACATGTAATATTCCTTTCTTATTTTCAAGACTAATTTCATATATAATACCTTAGTTAATATTGATTTCCACTGTGGGTTTTTTTGATTTCTTTTCATTTTCACTACATACCTAGCAATAAACCTAGTCTGCATAATCATTATCATACTCCTTAAGACCTTTTAAAATTTCATAACAGGTTTAAATATTCCCCCTCTGTAATCTTACAACAAATGATTTTTTCCCTGCCTGCTCACTATTAAAAATGGATTTCTATGAATGCACTTATGTGCAGTCTCCAGTCACACATACACATTACTTGTTTAAACAGCAGAAAAGACATTTTCTTGTATCCCATTTCCACATGAACAAGTATAAGGAGTAAGGGAAGCAAAATAGAGGCAGTGGGAAAAGGCATTATACATTCTATAAATGCAAACATAAAGCATGCAGAACCCATACAGCAGAAAAAGCAGGAGGCACAGGGCTCTATTGCCCAGCTCTGTCTTTCCCTTTCTTGCTCCAAGGAGAGCCAGGACAATGCTGAGTGGTTTTGAAAATTCTTTCTTTATCCCTGGTTAGCAATCTCAACAATGGAGGGGAAAGGCATAGGATCAGTGTGGGATTAAGTAAAAATATGATCAAATATCATTTACACTCAAATCACAGCAAAGCTGATTTGAAGTGACATGGATGGAAACTGTTCCCTGCAGGCAGCATAACATCAACTGGACATCACAGAGCAGGTGAATTGCTCGGTGGGTAATTCAGCAGAAAGATGGGTCTCCTCTAGTGTCCATCAATACTGGATTAGTTCAAATCTTCAGTGCCTCGAAAGGACAATTTCTAATCAACTCTTTTCCTGCGGTTAAGATTTTGTATAGTCTGTTTCCAAGATGGCTCTCTGGTGTTTAATGACAGGTGAGTTCCTACTGCAGCCATCTCCGGAGGAGGAAAATCTTTGTTTACTGCCCATTCGCATTTTCACATGAAGTGTTTGAAAATCCCAGAGACCTTATGTCACACCTGGCTGACAATGGCTACAAGGTTCAAAGTTATTTTAAGGAAATATACCAGGCAATCACATTAGGTCTGTTCTTGAAACAGCAGGTTAACACAGCTGATCAAAGGAGCAGCCAGTACCTGAGGCAGGGGCTGCTTGATAATGATCTGCAAGTGGTGCTAAAAACAGAGATTTTGGCCTGTGCAAAACTGGTCCACAAAGCCTCAGAGCAGGTTTCTCTGGTGTCAGCTGACAGGGGACATGCCACAGCACAGCCTGGCATCAGTAAACTCAGGCACCATTTTACCTGAGTTTAAAGGTCAATGGCCACTGACTTCTCATCTGTTAGAAACCAGCCCATTTTGGTTTAACTTATTTGTCTCATGGGTTAGATTTGTGGATATTTTATTTATTATAAAGCAAAAAATGTCTAGACAGAAAGGAGATTTGCCTTTGTTAATATTTTGAACCATATTGTCAAAGAATCCTTTTTAAGTTGCTTGTGATTCAAAACAACTGCACAGGCAAACCAATCCCCAAGAAACTACAGTATGGAACATATAATCAATATACATAATTCACTTCACTTTGGGTCTGGCCGATGCAAAAGAAAGATAAGCTGCAAGAAGGAAACTGAGGGCACTGTGTAAACCAGGGCAGTAGTCTCAAAGAATGTTTTTTTAATAGATTAACAACGGAGTGCTGATGTCAACACATCAGCTGTAATGCATTTATACTTTTCCAATGCAAGTGTAAAGAATACAGCATTTATCTCCCATTTTCAGAAGCTATAGACAAACATCAGGATGGAAAAGGAATTCCCTGAATCAAGGGCAGCTGTAAGTTTTCTGCTAACACAGCTGGGGATATTTGGAAAAGGTGGTGAATTATGCCTAATATGTCACAGGTTGCTATATTAGATTTATTTATGTAGAACAGAAGGGTAGTAATGCTGGAGAAGAAGCAGGGAGTTGGATTAAGTAAAACAAGCTGACGTATATATGTGCAGGGCATTTTGTATTTGTAAAAATTTTGTATATAAAGTATTTTGTAAAGTATTTTGTATATAAAGTATCTTGTAAAAATTAGTATTTTGCATTTTTATACCTTTTTTTATCTCTGTGTTCTACAACACGGTGGACTTAACATATTGTACACTTTTCCTTTTGCATGATGACCATATCATTCATTTTACACCGAAGAATAAAGCAGGAACAAAGTTGGATTTGTGGTTCTTTAGCTATGCAACAAATCTTTTCTTCGCTAGATGGCACCCTGTCTTCTCCTATGGCTAAATGTTGCATACGGCAAAAAGCAACGGTTTCATTTTCACAGAATATAAAATGATAGAGGACTTATTCTTTGTGCTGAATGCTTTCACTGCTTCTATGTGTCCTACGTCATACCCCTTATGTATTTGCAAGGACAAAGTTCCTCATGATAGACCTGGTTCAATTATTTTACATTCAGTATTTGTCTCAAAACTGATTATCACCCAGAAATCTTCATGGGAGAGGCACCCATTGCAGTGGCTCAGATTCTGAATAACATTTAAAGTGCTCGGAATAAATTATAAATATCAAAATGCTTCTCTCACATTCTTTCCAAAATAAGCATAGATCTAGATTTGATAATGATACTGTCTCAAATCCTCAGCAGGTATTAATCAATTTGGCTTCACTGGAGTTGATTGATGCCAGGTGAAGATCTGCACCTGCAATTTAGATGCTGGCCTGCAGAGCACAGCTTGACATGTTTTCTTTTTCTTCACTCCAAGGCATGATAATTGAGCTCATTTGGGCACATTTCTCACTTCTTCGTCAAAACTCCCACCTGAGAATTGGACTTAAAATCAGTGCACGTCTCTTTGTAATAATTCAAAATAATCTTTTCACAAAGGAAAAAAAAAGAAGAAGAAAGCTGACTAAAGACTTCAGAGCTGGGAAGTCAGTTGTTCAATACAGTGTTAGTGATTGCAACACAGCAACCGATGCAAGCAGAAGCAAAATACCACTCATCTCCTTCATTTTTACTCTTACTGCCACTAGATGATAGTATGGTAACACCTGCATTGTTCAGCTGCATGCCAGACCTTCTGTTGCTGGATTCCTGGCAGCATTCACACTTTTATATGTGAAGAATATCCAGAAGCTCATCAATACTACATAGCTAGCCTTTGAATAGCAGTGCTTAATTATATCCCCTGTGATTTCGCACATTAATATACCCAAAGTGTGGTGGATTCTATTATTTGTCCATAGACCCAAACTGGGCTTTATTTAGGCACAGATATTACACTAAATTGGTCACCTTACTCTATTTTTGTGAGTTACCCATCCAGAGCTACAGTGAGACATTTTGACGTAAAGGGCAAGACAATTACACTTCCCTGGCAGGAAGCAGAAGAATGGCTGGAGGTAACATTTACATTCCACCTCATGGGCATCCCACTCACTGCCAGTTCTGCACATCCACTCGCTGCTTCTTCCACCTTTTCCATTTTGTGCTCTCTCTCTTGAGAGGATTCCCTCCTCATCCAATAGAAAAGCTGTGGGTTAAGAGGAGACTCACATCCAGAAAAACACCTTGAGCACACAATTGCATCCTCTCCACAAACACTTTCTCTCCCATTTCACATAGTTTGTACTCTCCTAATACAGCAAAATTAAAACCAAACTGTTTTTTCTCACAGCTTATCTGTAAAGTAAATAGTCAAAACCCTTCACTGCACATTTTTTTCCCTAGGTGAATCTTAAAACTCTGGTTTCTTTTTACCCACAATAACAAGGTCATTTTTCTCTTGGAAGGCTGGACTGACTCTCCCTGGCCAGGAATATGCACCCCAAGGAAGGGACGAGTGGCCAGCTCCAGTTTTGCACAATACCTTTCCCATCACAGCCAGTTTTACAAGCACTTCCAGGTCCCCACAGTGGAAAAAATCCCACCTCTTCATCTGTTAACTGTGGCAGACATGTAGAGTGATGAAACTGTTAGCACTACAGGCAAGCCAAAAACTGAACACCAGAATCTTCAGTGAAAAGACATTGGCCCTCGGACCAACAAAGGCTAAAGGGGTGCAGTTCAGAAAGTGCAAAGGGTGAAGTCACACATCATTGCATTGTTGGCTAATTCTCTACTCAAGGATTTGATTCAGCCATGACCATCACAAGTCACTCAGTTTCCCACAAAAACTAGATCTGGATATAGGGGAAGCCCTGAGTTTCTACTTAAATGGAAATATGGTTACTTTGACAAATATTTGTTTTAATTCAGGATGAAAGTATATTTGTAAGATTTTCAGGTTTCAAAAGGCTTGTATTTATCTTCTCTAATGATTGGCTTGGAGATTTGGAACAGTGCATAAACTATTAGTTATATGGCACAATACTTAAATGAATAATTTTCATAATCACTAAGAATACATCTTCTATGTAATGTAATTGAGGTATCTATTGTTTTGTACTCAAAGCATTTACAGTGTCATAGCAGGCCCAGGAGGAAAAAACAATTCCAATGTCAGTCTTTCAGCATGTTAAACAGAAGTGTTAAAAAGATAACTTGTTCCCATTGGAAATCAAGACCTAAAGAACAAAGTAAAATATTTCAAACATTATACAGATCACTCTTACTGACAGGTGTAACACATATTAACAATATTATAAAAATCAAATTCCTTTACAGGTCAAAATAAAGCTTTAGAATTTGTAAATTAAATTCTGAAAAATTCTAAAAGCAAACATCTTGGAAAATAGTTTAAAAGTCTTCCTCCATTGTAAACCTTCATCATATTTTTCAATTAAAATTATTTTAATATCATCTTCTTTTGCTTTTCATCAAGAACTGCAACAACAAAAGGTCCAACCAGCTGCTATTTTGCGAAGCATATTTGAACTGGCATTTCCTGAGCTTATGAAAAATGAAGCACTCCATTTTACTTACATGAATAAGGATGCTCTATATCCCACATATGAATATTAATTTTTTTTTACAGTTCTTCTCTGTGATATAAGAATATTTAAATCTCACAGTCAAGGAGAAGTTCTGCTGCTAACAAACCTGTAAGAAACCCATTTTTCCAGGGATAATCATGTCAGCTGTCAGAGCACAGTGAGGAGCAGCTGGTTCACGAGGGATGGTGAGCCAGGAGCTGAGCAAAATAAAAAGGCAAGTGGGAGCAGCACTTTCTACCAAGGAGTGAGGTTGTGGAGTGGCAAATCTGTGTGGTGATGAGGATCAGACATGATCCAGGGCTCTCCCAAGATGTCTAGAGCAAGTCAGAGCTCTCACAGGCAGTGGAGCTCCCCTTGGACTCAGACAGTTAAATGTTCTATCTTCACCAAGCCCCCTCCTAGAAGGGGAGTGCATGTCTGCCCTGACACCAGTACTGCAACACACAGCCTTAGCAGTTAAAGGTGCACAGCACAGTTGAATAAAATTCACACTTTATGAGAAGACATTTGAAAACATGAATAGGTGACTACATTAAAAAAAAACAAACAACTGCTATTGTTGCCTTTTTAAAATGCTAAAGGATGCCCTTTATTCAATAAAAAAAAAATAAATAAGGGCTATGGGAATATATTTATGAGGAAAAATTATCCATTCAAAATAGATCATATAAGCATAGTCTGAGAAACACCTGTGCTTGCCAGACAGACATATTCCAAAGGCTTCTGCAGAGCTACATAAAATGAGTAATTATATTACAACTGCAGGTTTTAATGCGCATGGAAAACACCCCAAATAAAATTAACTTATTACTCATTTCATTTTTTGGAAAAACAACAGTTCTAAATTCCAGGGAGAGTAATGGAAAGCTTACCAAGCATGTCAGCAGGCTTCATGCAGGCTGAGCACTACATGCAACATTGATTTCTGCCTCCAGCAAGGGTCTACCTGCAGGCATCAGCAACTAGAGAGTGAAAGAAATTATGAAGGGCTGATTCATTTCCAATGCCCCCATCATTTCTCACCCAGTTCCTCGGAGGGGTATGTATTAGATGTGCTGTTGTTGCCCCTTGCAGGACAGCTAGAGACCTCACACACTCTCCTTGCTCCCTTTGCCCAAATGGTGAAATAAGGGCTGCTGCAGCCAGTGTACAGGTATCTGACAAAGAAACTAATTTAGTTTCTACCTCATATCAAGCATTGCAAAAAACATACCGTGAAGAACATGAAAACTAGGAAAAATAAATATTCTTTCCCATTGTTTTTACTTTTTATCCTAAATTTTAATAGAAATTGAGACTGTTTAAATGCTCCACATATCAATGCAATCTTTAAAATGTGGTGTGACATCAGTTAAAATAGAAGCATTTGCCATCTCAAAAAGCTTCCCATCTCCCTAAAAGGCCTCTTCTCATCTTTCTGAGGAAATTGAACAATACAATAGAAACTTGCAAAATCTAGGTGAAAAACAGCAACTTCAGCACTCATAATGAGGGAACTTCAAATATCTGTAGCCCAGGTTTGGACTGTTTTAATATAGCACAAATGATTTCACAAAAGTATGTTGGAGATTGAAATGGTTTCTGAGGATTTCTATAGGAGGCAGGAAACAATCGTGATATTCAAAAGACACTACTCTAAACAAATTGCTCTACTGGAATTGTAGCTCCCAGCAAATTCCATAGCCTTTGAATATTGGTGTAGAAGGAGATTCACATTATTTAATAGTTTTCAATATGCAGTTGGAAGAATGACTAACACACAAGTATCATACCTATCTTTATTAAAAGAAAATAATGCAATCAAAGGACCCATTCATTTTGAGTGATTGCTCTGGAGCTGGGCTGATAATCAAATACTATAGGATACTATAGTACTGCTAGTTATCTTTAAAATTAATAACAATCATATATATAGAGAGAGAGAAAGGATTGAGATTTACAGAGTAAATATAGCAAGCAAAACAGTTTGTTCTCTTAGGTATATAAAACAAATGATGTCAGCAGTGGAAATGAACAGCATCGTATGGTCATTGATTGTTTACATGCCACAGCACAGCAGAGTTGATATGAATTGGTTTCCTTGCTGTAAGGAAATCTTTGGGGCCATATGCCATATCCACTGTGGATATCCTATACACCAATCTGCCATTATCATCAGACACACATTTTGATCAGAATGTTATGCAACGATCTTTTATCCTTAAAAATCATCTTAAAACTCTGCTCAGAGTATTCCAGGAAAAACACAGTCAGAGATTTTGCAAATTTTGACAATTTTTTTCTGCCTAACAGTGAGATATCATGCATCTGGCACCTGGGAAGATTTAAAGTAATTCATAATTTCTTTTGTGAAATTATGCTGTTGGTTTCTTGGGGTTTTTTTTAAATATACATCACATTTTTCATCATATGCAATTGTAAATTTGGTACATAAATTATTTGTGCAAAGTTATTTATTACTGCTATACACATAATCAGGAAAATTTCCAAAATTTTTCTGCTTTTCAGGAGATTATTTTAACAATCTGTGTAAACATGTAAGCTGTTTTCTTACCAAAAGGAACCCATAGATAATATGTTTTCATGAGCTTAATTGCATATATATGAAGTCTGCCTTAAATTGTGGAGGGCTGGTATTTTGCTTGTTTTGTAACAATATGTATCAAGATTATCTTAAAAAAATGTGAAACATTTACTTTAGGGAATAATTTAGCTTCTGAAATACTTCATGCACTGATTCATTTTTAAGTAAAGAATGCAGAAAATCTAATTGTTACTTTTGCATTTAGCCAACCCCAAAACACCATCTGGATGGAAGCCCTCTTTAGTTACTAAATTATAAGAATTTTTTCAGCATAGAATCATGGAATCATAGAATAGTTTGGGTTGGAAGAGACCTTAAAGATTACTCACACTAGACTTTGTCCTCCCTCAGCACTAAAATTCAATTTACTTAAATGCTTTTTGGTCATACATCTATGAACAGTTTAATAAAGAAACATTAGAAAATTGGTAGACTTTCTGGTTTGCTTTAACCAGTTTAAAAAAAAAAAATAGTAACATTCAAAAAACCTATAGTAATATTTGTCCTTATTAACTAGAGTATGCAAAATATTTGTCTTGTTGCCAAAATATCCCTGTAGCACAAGTAATTATCATCTATAACTACAAATTTTACTAAGATAAAAGAATATCAGGAATCTAATTCTAACCATTCTAATAACTAGGGGCCAAATTCTGCCTTCTTTTGCAGTCATGTAATCACATTTGTTAACTGTTGTAAGGGCAAAATTTAGCCTCAAAGCACATTTTTATCTAGACAGATACATATTCCTACATAAAAAAAAAAAAAAAATCAACCAAGCTACGCGTTATTACTGGTCTTCCCTTCTGAAGGGTAAATTCTGATATTTGAAATACCTAAACTGTATTTACAGCTGTACAACTCTGATGCCGCACACTTGCAAAATTCCACTTGCACGCTATAAACATGGAGCAACTTGTACAATTGCCTTAAAAAATTTTCTTTAAAAAAAAAAAAGAAAGAGCAGAGCAGCTTAGACATTTTCCTTGTCAAATTCGCACACAAAATACATGGTAATGTGACAGGCAACATCGTTCCAGCCTCCGGACGCCACCATCTCTACACAGTCCTCCTCGTCGTAGGCGTTGTTGGGCTCTCCGCTGCGCCATTTGTTGAAGGTCTGCATGGGCGACCGGTCAGAGTAGACGAAATTCCCCTCCTTCTCCAGGTCGTTAATCCCAATGAAGACTCTGGTGAGCCCAGCTTGGTTGATGTACGAGGCAATCAGGTTGTTGGCAGTCTCATCCTTGGGCATGCTCAGCGTCCCTCCTCTGCCGTGGCAGTACAGCTGGGCTTCCTTGTACCTCTTCTCCTCCTTCACCAGCAGATATATCTTATTGTCTGTCTCGCGCACGCCGGCGACAGCTGCGGGGGAGGGCAGTGCTGAAAAGTGAGCACTCGCATTTCTATAAACCAACTCACTGCACACCCCAAAATAGCTTCACAAATCAGATGTGGAACGGTGACGCTCTTTACGAGCGATTGCACCGATAAAATGAGGCAAAAAGAAAGGAAAAACAGTTATATAAAATTAACCTACCATTTTTTATGAATTTTAGTTCTGTCATCAGCTGGGCTACTTGAATATCCATTTCACCAATAGCCTTCCTTAGCTGACTGCACTCACAAGGGATGCCTGTGAAACGATACAGATACACCCAAATCAAAAACCTACCTAATTTCAACAATTATCTCAACAATTTTATCTCTAACAATTTTATGAATAGGCCCAGCGTGGCAGCCCTGGAGAAAGCTGTCTTGCAAGAAACAGATAGAAAATTAGAGCCTTCACTATCTTGCACCATTATGATTCTCAGGGGTGTCTGAACCTGTGCAGAACAGCTCAGTTCACTTCCTACAAATCTTCAGCCCTGATCTACAGGGCTACAAATCTTTAGCTCCTGAATAATTAGCACTAACCTAAACACAGACAGATATTCTCTGCAAAATACACACACACAAAATATTTTTTAACTAAAAACATTTTCCAGAAATTCCCATTTTCTTTAGTTTTCTCAAGGACTTCTTTCACAGCAAAAAACATTGTTTGCAAGTTCTTCCTGAGGAACACATCACAGCAGATCCAAAATTCTAACCACATAATGCACATAATTACCTGCAAAATGCAGTTCTGTGTTTTTGAAAGTACTGAACTTACAATACTTCTGACAATAAAATTAGACAATAGAAAAGCATCTATTAACCCAAATTGGTATAGGTTTGACAAAGATAATCTGAATGTGACTACTAAAAGCATAATTGTTACATCTTTGACCACAAATCTCAAAATGAGGATCAATTACAGTTTGCATTTATTACAGTTTGCAGGTCTGTATGTAATTATTAAAATCTGCATTGGACTACCCAATTACTCAGCTCAGTTGTGTAAATCAGTCTAAGCACAAGGTACATGCCATACAAAACTGCATGCTGGCCAGGTGCATGGCATGCTGGCTCAAGAATCAGAGTGACAAATTATGTTCTCGTGAGAAATCTAGTCTGTACACCTCCAAGGCACTCTGTCAGGAAAGAACAAATTCAGTCAAATCCAAACCTGCCACTCTTGCAAGGCTTGCACTTCTTACACTAGGCTGTTTCTCTAGAACATCTATATACTTCTGGAAGATCCATATACCCCCTGTAAGCATCTGAAGGGGTGGTGACAAGAAGACTGAGCCAGGCTCTGCTTGGTGGTGCCCAGCAATAGGACAAGAGACAATGGGCAGAAACTAATGCAAAGGAAGTTACACCTGAATATGAGGAAGAATTTCTTTACTGTGCAGGTGATTTTGCACTGGAACAAATTGCCCAGAGAGGCTGTGGAATCTCCGTCCCTGGAGATATTCATGAACAGTCTGGGCACCTGACAATCCTGAGCCCTGTGGTCTGGGATTACTGTGCTTGAGCAGAGGTTGAACCAGGTGAGCCAATATGGTCCCTTCCAACCTGACCCATTCTGTGATCTGTGCTCTTGGCAATCTCCTGCTCCTGTAACCATGATCCATGGAGGGGCAGGAGCATCCAACCTGCTCCTTTGTGTTAACTGGAAGACAAAGTGAGATACACAGACATCCCTTTGCCCTGGTGATGAATGACACACACAGTCTGCACTTCTGTTCCCACTAGTTTCTGGAGAGATTACTCCTCTGAGAAAGTATGAGAATTGTTTTAACATATACTCTACCAGTCCAGCAACTACTGCAACTCCAATGATTTTAAGTCATTTGAAAATATCACAGTGAAATATTACAGTGCCTATGAAAAAAAGCATTAATGATTTCCCCCAGTATGTAAACAGATACATTTCTAGTGATGAAAATTCTTTCACATAAATAAGGTGTTATGGATTACCTGGGTCACCATTAGGACCTGGTGGTCCTATGTCACCATTATCTCCTTTTTCACCTGAAGACATGAAAAATAACATAATGTTAATGCAGCCTTTTCTGTCAATAGTTCATTTAGCACTTGTCTATTTTTTCTCTAGTAAAATTCAAATGTAGAAAGTAGAAATATGCCCAAGCAAAAATAAATATTTTTCTGTCCTAGTCATTCCACAGCAAAGACCAGCCAAAGCTATGAAACTTGAACCCAAATAATATGTACTGATATCCACTTCTTGACATTCATAACCTTCACAGAACCAGTAGATTCAGATGCTGTAGAGGGAAAAGGGCCGGATAGAACTAAATTTCTAATCATAATCTAGATGATTATGTAAACACTGTTCCAAATGTACCAAAGTCACATAGGAAGTCTATGGAGTAGTCAACATAACACATCTGGCTCTTAATAGTATGCCAACACATCTTTCCATCTGCTTTGACTGTCCACACTTGTATGACAGTGCAAAGTTCCTATTTATACTCAAACCAGGATCCCACTCACAGTGCTTTAAGACTAAATATACTGCTGTCACAGCAAAAGGTAACTGGTTGAGATGTCTCAGTGACCTGAGTCTGTGTGAGAGCCTGATTACAGTGTGAGAAAATTCTTACTAAGGTAAACCGTGAGTCTTGTTAGCCCCTAAACTTTTCTCAGACATAAATGATCACACATTTTTCACCTGAAACTCAAATGGAGAAACAATTGAATTAGACATACCTTTTGAACCAATAGGACCAATTTTTCCATGCCGTCCTATGCTGCCTTTCTGTCCTTTGTCCCCCATTTCACCTATACACAAGAGAAGGATGAAAGGCACAAGGTAGAATGTAATCTGATTCATTCAGATTCTACTATGTTTGCAATATCAGTTTTCATAGTGAACAAAACCATACTATATCCCAAATATTCATTGAACTCCAGGGGTCTAGATCAATCCTTGTGAAGAAGTTACATACAGAAACCTAGACAGTGATTTTATCTTTGCTAAACAATTGACATTAACAAGGCATGAAGGGATAATTGTCAACAGCTCTTGGCTGAAAACCACTGGGAAGCTTTTGCAAACTTCTTTCAGCTGATCATGACAGAATTATGTTGAAAATAAATACAGAGGATTGTTGCATTCAGACAAGGATCAGTAGATTAAAACTATCATGGAGTTGAGAGACCTAAAGGATCCAAGCACAACTGATATTTCATCTCAGACAGTGACTCCATTGTAACTGAGGGAGGCTTTGGGCTAATGACTTATTTGTACAGTATAAATACTGTCACATGAGATAAGTTTCCCTCTGTACCACACTATTAAAGGAGAGTGGACATGGGGGTACTACAGGGATGAATGCCTTCTGAGGCTCCCATCCTGCAGAAATCCAGGACCAAGACTGCTTTAGGAAATATTTATGAAGCTGCTTTCAATGTCTATTGAAAAGATTTCTTCTTTGCTGAAAGTGACCTCTGCTATGCACTGGCCAACTACACAGGTGCAAGGAAACAATGAGATAAACTAGGAAGAAAATCTAACATAGGGATCCAGCAACTGGACTTGTGCAAACTGTCGTAGCTCAGCCTCAGTTGTGGATTTATGACAACTGAAGACCTGTTGCCCCCTGTTGCTACTGCAGCTGGACAGACATCTGTATTTTTGAAAGCTGGGTAGTTTTATGACCCACTTTATCATTACTTTTAACTTAAAAGTGAAATCAATAACAAGTTTCAGAATATAAACTGATCACTGCTGGCCTAAGAGATATTATCTCTATTACTCTTGCTTGAAGTATCAAGCAACCCTTGTCACTTGATGGCATGAGCCAGAAAGAAACAATTTCCTCTGAACTGACAGAGGCTAAATGTGTGCGGTTTGTTGGTCTAATTAATTATTTACAAGTCCTACAACCAAAGAAAGATTTTTCTTTGTTTCTAATAAGTATCAAATTCAGACACTACTAGACACAGGCTTCCTCCAGAAACCAGAAATATTTTCCTCTTATCTATTCCTACTGGAAGTACCAGTTTGTAATCAGTTTATCAAGTTGCTCTGAAAATGATCTCTTGCTTAATGAATTGGGATTCTCATTACAGATTAGCAGATGTTTGAACGCTTTCTCTTTTCAGATTGCTACACCTGAAATTAAATAAACTCATAGATCTAATAAAATAAACTTTATAAAATTATTTCTCTTTCTTTCTCTCAGAAACTTCCCAGAAAATGAACTGCTTCTCAGTCACAGCCAGTGAAAGCTATGTGCTCTGCTCAGAAGTAAAAGGAAAGTGTGTTATCTCAAGCAATGAAGACATACATTAAATCTTCTTTCCTCATTATAAGAATTGTTCACATTTGGGTTTCTCTTACAGTGACTAACCCCTGCTTCCACTCCAGGGGCTTGGTTATTCTGCTTCCTCTGCAGAATAAATCACAAAGTTTCAAAAGAGACCCATCTGCCTTTTCAAAAGTTTTAATACCTTTTGTAAAGCCCTTTTAAGTGGCCCTATGGTTGTCAAAAATGCAGTTTGAGGAGTCTTAATGAAATCAGGAAGTGATAGCTGGAAAGAAATGGGGACAATAAAAGAAATTAAGTCTCCGAAGACCAAAAATAGGAAATCAAACACAAAGAGCGAATAGAAAACTGAAGAAAGTCATCAGTCATACTACTCAGATGAAGGTAGAATACACTGGAACCAATTATAGAAGATTTAAAGGATTTGGGAAGGAACTGAAGAGAAAGAAATTCTAAATTATCTTCCTGGTGGCCTTTTCAGGCCTACAAACAAGTGAAGAAATAAAATTCCAGAGATGAATGGTGGGCTGCAAAACAAGTGAAAAAATGAGGGGGTTTGACTCTGTGCAATACTATAAATGGGGGCCATAGAGTATGGGCAATCTCTTCAGAATTAGTTGTAACAGACAAGAAGGTATAAAGCTACCTAGAAAAAGAAAAAGGCACCAAAAAGACAAATCTAGCAGAAATGCAAATTCACCATGTCACAGACAAATTTAATTGAATCATGTTAAAAGGAAGAGAGCAGTAGTTTTCTTCCCAAACTTAAAGATTTTAAGACAATTCAAATCAAATTAATGATTTGACATAGAGGACATCACAGACACCTACCTAACAAGGAAAGGAGAAGTGTACCAAACCACACCAAAGGTCTCCTGAATCTAGTGCCATCTTTGACAGCAATCGGCAGAGGATACTTAGAAAAAGAACATAAGATATAGATGAAGATTAAAAAGTCCTTCCCCCAGTACACCTCGATAGTCTTGCAGCAGTCAGCGTTCCCAATGCAAATAGCTAGCCTGACTTGAATGAGAATGGTATTTTTAAACTATATAATGATGCTACAGTAGTAATCTACATTCAGGACACTTCATTTTTAAAAAACTATTGGCAACTGGAAATCAGAAAATGCCAAATATGTCAACAGGCTACAAAACTGCTATACACTGAAAAATCTGAGTTATACACACTAATGAAGGTCATGGATTGATGAGAGAATGGTGGCTACAATAAGTTACATTTTATCATAGAATCATGAAATGGGCTGAATTGGAAGCAGCCTTGAAGATCATTTAGTACCAACCCCCTTCCATGGGCAGGGACACCTTCCACTAGACCAGGTTACTTGGGACCCCATCCAACATGTCCTTGAACACTCTTAGAGGGATGGAGCATCCATAGCTTCCCTGGGTAACTTGTTCCAGTGTCTCACCATCCTCACAGTACAGAATTTCTTCATTTTATCTAATCTAAACCTGTCCTCTTTCAGTTTAAAGCCATTCTTCCTTGTTCTATTATTACATGCCCTTGTAAAAAGTCCCTTTCCAGCTTTCTTGTAGGTCCCCTTTACTGGAGGGTCCTCTAAGATCTACCTGGAGCCTTCTCTTCTGCATGTTGAAGAAGCCCAGCTCTCTCAGCCTGTCTTCAAGGCGGAGGTGTCCCATCCCTCTGATACTCTTTGTGGCCCTCCTCTGGACTTCCTCCAGTAGGTCCATGTTCATTTTGTGTTGGAGGTTCCAGAGCCAGATGCAGCATTCCAGCCAAGGTTCTCATGAGGGCAGAGTAGAGCAGAGAATCACTTCCCTCAACCCGCTGCCCTTGCTGCTGTTGATACAGTCCAGGATGTGGTTGGATTTCCAGACTGCAAGGGCACATGGCTGGCTCATGTTGAGCTTCCCTTCAACCAACACCCCCAAGATTTTCTCCTTCAGGCTGCTCTCAATCCATTCCCAGTCAGTATTTGTGCTTGGGATTGCCCCAACCCAGGTGCAGGACCTTGCACTTCGTCTTGTTGAACTTCATGGGTCTGCCTCAAGCCTGTCCAGGTCCCTTTGGGTGACATTTCTTCTCTCCAGCATGTTGACCATGCCACAGAGTTTGGTGGTGTTGGCAAACTTGCTGAGGGTGCACTCAATCCCACTGCCTGTGTCACCAACAGCGTGAAACAGATATTCTTATATAAATGAACCATGCATAATCACAGGAGGCATTTTATATATCTGGGGCAAATCAATTTCACCCAGCATTAGCTATCTTAAAGTTAGGGGTTTTAGTCTAAGATATTTATCTAAACTCCCATAGTCGGGAATGGAGAAATAAACACTTTTCAGTAGTGATCCATCCCATTCACGTTAGAGTTAGACATAATGACAAAGTGAAACTTTAAAAGCTCTGCACAACAATCAGGAGGAAAAAAAAAAGAGTAAACTATTACTGATCTATTCTAACTAGAGATCAGAGTAGATAGAAAATTTGCAAAGGAAACTAAATAGTGAGAAAAAATCCAATCTAGGAAGGCAGCAGTAAAGTTTAAAGATTTTAAAGTGCATTCAAAACAGAAATGAAAATAATACAGCACATTCCTGGAGGAGTTTCTATTCAGAGGCAAGCAAAGACAAATAACTGCCCTCATGAAACATTATCTTGCTAGAATTATGTTAACAACATAATACCAAGCTTCTTCAAACCAGTGATCCCCCTAGCCCAAGACTTTGTTTCATCTGATGGCAGCAGAAGGTGCAGTACAGGAAGATCCCACAATTCCAGCCACTATCTGCAGTCCTGTGCAGGTGGAATTGCTGGATCTGTCCCCAGCAGTTTCAGAGAGTGCCTCCTATTCCAGGTATGATGGGATCTGGTGATTCTGTAATCTTGATTACAACCTCCTCAGACTACTCCGTACAGAGGCAAGAGTCTCAGCCTGTCCAGTTTCTCCTTATGAGGCAGCTCCTCCTTTTCACATTTTTGGCACCCATCTCTCACCTCTCAAGTCCTTGAGAGACAGAGGCTAGAAGCACATTTATTCTTGAGACACTACACATCAGGCTTTTGTACAAAACAAAATCAGCTGCAAAAAGAAGCTTCCTGTTTTGTCCTTTGTCCTTTTGTCATAGTTTTGTGATGACAGGCAGTGTTCTCTTGGCCTTGGGACTCTTGTTAATGACTTCAGAGCAGCCCTTGAGTTTCAAGTGACAGTTTGGGGTTTTGGCATCGTTTAAGTATGGATTAAATTATGCATCCCTAATGTCCCTAGGCAATATATTTATTTACATTGAAGCCCATCTGCCACCTTTTTGCCCACTCAGTTTAGCAGGATTTTCTCAAAATCCTATTGAGTTCAGGTGGAACTGAAAGACAGGTTTGAACCAGATATCCACTTTGTGAATTCACAACTGTCAATGTCAGGACTTTTATATGGAATACTGCCTGCAGCACTCCTTAGCGAGCAATAAATTCATGTAGAAACTGGCTCAGAAATGCAAAGGATTGATTGATTACATATTAATGAGCAATCACTAATAATAAAATATAAATTAAGATATTATTACCTCTTTTTAGAATTTGATTATACAAATGACTGAGCACTCTGGCTCCAATCCAGTTAAATTAATGAGTCTTCTCTCCTACTTAAGAGGCTGTGCCTGTATTAGTAAACTAAATGCCTGGGACTGTTCCCTGGCAGTGGGAGCCAGATGGTCAAGAACGGGACACTCTATGATACTAAATTATCTTACTCTTCAAGCCAGTATAATCTTGCAAGCTGCTCATTGTGTTATCTCCCAAAAGATGCCCAAGAATTGCCTGGGAAAGTGTTAGGTGGCAAAAGCCAAAATTACTGGGCTAACACTGCAAAGGTAAAGATAGTTGAGTTCCAAGCCCAAGAAGAGTGTGTGACTCTGTATCACATGCCATGATAGATGTACATAAATTAAGTACAATGTATAAAAGATGAAATTAAATTACTAAAATAATACACATGTTAAATGATTATGGCTCTAAGAAAATGGAAATATCTTGAAAAACATATTTGTAATGTTCTGTTCCCTTAATGTTACACTGCAAGTGTAAATCCACCTTCACCTCCTTATTTTTGTTGCTGTAAGGCACTCTGGGAATTTTCACAGGATGGTGCTGTTACTGAAATATCGGTGTGGAATCTCAATAAATGGAAGTTACGGCCTCACAGACTGCACCAGGACTCAGTTAAATAACTGAGCTTACTCCCAGTGTGGGAGAGCACAGTACAGCCATCAGTGCAAGCGGGGAAAGTTAATTCTGTGAACTTCACACCCCAAACCTTGCACTGCAGTACACACTGCTTTCATCTGCAACAGCCATTGTACTCGACCCAGCACTCCGTGCTTATGTAAGGCAAACATAGTTTCATATTCTGCTGACATGCTATGCATCATAATTGACCTATACAATTAATTAAAAGCAATAAGGAAAGTAAGTGGAATTTAACCTTAATCAGCACACAAAGACATCAGTACCTCTGATGTCACCCTGAAGCATCAAGACAGCCAGAACAAGATTTATTTCAGGAAAGCACCAGAAAGTTTTCAATTTTATCACTTTCTGAGTTACCAATATCTGAAAATATCATGAGGAAAGGCTATGATAAAAACATTTTGCAGCACTTTTTGATCTTGAGCTTTTCATTTCAGGTCAAATATGTCATAAGAAGATAGTTTCTTTTATAAATTATTTTATGGTTATTTTTTATCTATGGAGTTGAAAGAAACTAAATACATTTTCTTAGATGAACTTACTAGAAAAATAAAACAAAGAAAGGGGAAAGAAAAAAAAAGAAAAATATTAGTTTAATTTTGATAATGTAAATTAAGATCAAAAGTAGAAAACTACAAATGTGGCAGAAAGATTACACCTTCTCCATCATGTAAACCATCACTTACTCAAAGAAGAGAAACATAAAATTAAATTTAGCAGCTTGCATCAACAGAAGGAGCCAAATATTAGATCAAGACAAAAATTATCGGTCTTCAAGAGAAATACAAGGGGTTGAACACTTGGTAACACACTGAATGAAATTCAACAGACTACTGCATAGAAGCAGGGCTGCTGCCCATGTGTGTTTTTAGGGGCAATTGCAAAAGGAAGGAATGATGACTTTTGCAAAGCATATTGTTGTATTTTATTTTTGTCTCAGTGTTCCATCTTCTGGATAAGAAATGGGAAAATCCTTGGTCTTCTGGAAGAGAATATACACAGTCTCAAGCAGCTTGAGAGTCTAGAAAAAGTATTTATGCATGAACTTAGCTACAGGTCTGCACACTATACAGTCTGTGGGGATTGACCAGAGACTGAAAGGTCAAGAAACTGAAAGCTTTTTCCAGGTCAAATTGGATATTCTTATGTGTCCTTTCCATAGACTAGAAATTACATCTGTGAAGTCTGTTTGCTTATCCAGTCAACACTGTGACAATTCCAAGTATACTGGATATAATATCAGGATGAAAAGTGGTGCCATATAATCTAATTTTTTTTTAAGCTATCTATGTTTTTTTTCTTTGATAAAGCATTTGTGGAGTTGATGAAGACATATTTACAAAATGCACAGCATTAATGAAGATACTAGTTAATTAGAATTTATTTTAAAGAAGAGCTTGTTTGTAGAAATTTCTGGATTCTAAAAAGAAAGCAAAAACTTTGTTGCTACAGAAGCAGTAAGAAATTTTGCCTGTGTTGAGTTGAAAGTACTACCTGGAAAAATACTGATATAGTATGCATTAATATTGAATTTTCTTAAATCCCTGTTCTGTTTCATGTATGTTTTCTTGCAGTTTGTTTCCACTTCAGTGTTTCTTCTTTCAGTCTCATGATATTTTTTTGACTTTTAGAGGTATGAAGAACTGGAAAATTACCACTGTTACAGGCATTTATCAAGCATACCTTATGAGAACTATTTTTCAAACAAATACAAATTTAGAGTATAAAATAAACAAATTAAATGCTACATCATGGATTGGCCTGACGGCACAAGAGTACTTCCCCATCTCAGATGGTCCAAAGCATTTTGAAGTGACAGGAATATCCTGGGTACAGCCAGATCCCAAGCTCCTCACCTGTGTCGCTCTGATGAAGTCTGGCCAATGGCTGGGTAAAAAACATCTTTGCATAAGAGGACCCAGAGATTTTTGGGCCCTCATACAAGAGAAGCAAACCAAAGTCCAGCTGAGGAAGGTGGTTTTACTTAGCTTGGAATACAGAAAGGTAATGGGGGGAATTAATTGCAGTCTTCCACTACTTACAAGCAGTTTTTAGAGAAGATGAAGGCTTTTTTTGCTCAAAGACAACAGAGAAAGGGCAAGATGCAATGATTACAAGCTAGAACGTGTCTTTCACGATGGCACCAGTGAAATAGACTGATTAAAATATATGTGGAATCTCCATCCTTGGAATATTTCAAAAGTCTACTGGACAAGGCCCTGAGAAACTTGCTCTGATATTGAAATCTGCCCTGTTTAAAGCAAGATTGGACTAGATGAGCTATTTACAACCTTTTAACCTAAATTATTCTGTCATACTACACTTCAGGCTGCATTGCCCTGCAAGAGCCAAAAATTTCAGTTTCCAGTATTTTTTTTCTACGAGTCATCCTTGAAAGTACATCTACAAAAGGGAAATACACTGATGGAACACACACCTCATGAAAGTTATACATTTTTCAATGCATTGTAGGAGGAAGAGCTCTAGCTATGGATTTTGGTCCCAGAGTAACAAGTATCAAACTTCCATAACTGCCTAAAAAACCAACATAAAGGATCATGCATCATCATAAGGAAGTATAAATTATCTTTACAATTGCTTTGAAAGAAAGATTGTAAACTCAGCTCAGTAAAAACTAACTCCAACCTTTTGATGACAGGAATGGCAATCTTTAGTTTCAATATTGAAATAAAGGAGTTCAACTTCCCCTAATTTGAACTTTTCAGAACAGACACCTCCTGGAAAACTTATGAAGGTCAAATTTCCTCCTTGCTTCAGGAGGAAAACAAATATGAAAAGACAGAACTTTCTGCAAGACAGAAATGCTACATTTCTCTCAGCTGTATAACTGAACACTGTTAAGCATCATTCCTCTTAAGAGCACAAAATATTTTTGAACAAAAAGGCAAATAAACATATCACCATTTTCCCCTATCCAAAAAAATGTGGGAACACTCATGTTCATCTCTGCCTATTATGGCTTACTGCCTTCCCCCAGTGGTTCTAATTAAGATGTTGTGAGTGTTCAAATTCACAAAAAAAAAACCAAAAAAAACCAAAAAGAAACAAGAAAATAAAGTCTTGTGAATACATTCCCTCTGATCTAATGTCAGGTTTTCATTTTCAGAAGACAAATTATGTAGGCGACATTATGATGCCTTTCTTCATAGAGACCTTTTTCTAAAAAAATCAAGATTTTTTTTATTCCCAAAATATATTTTTTAAAAAATCACAAGGTGATACTTAAGAAGCTGGGCGGGGGGACAGAGCCAGGACAACTGACCTCAACTGACCCAAGTTAGGGGTCAGCTAAATGATAGTGTTTGTCTTCCCAAGTCACTGTTGCATGTGATGGGGCCCTGCTTTCCTGGGGATGGCTGAACACCTGACTGCCCTTGGGAAGCTCTGAATTCACTCCTTGTTATGCTTTGCTTGTGTGCATGTGACCTTTGTTTTCCCTATTCTTTATCACAACCCATGGGTTTTCTCACTTTCACCCTCCTGATTCTCTCCCCCATCCAAAGCAGGGGATGGGAGTGAGTGGCTATGTGGGGCTGAGCTGCTGGCTGGAGTTAAACCATGACAGTAGTAAACAGAAATGGCCAAGGATGACTTGTCAACCGGTTATGGGAACAAGGACACCCATCACCATCATCATCTCACAAGAAAAAGCAGCATTTTCTCAGGAATGACTTTCAAGACACCTTATCAAAGTTACCTTTTTCTCCTGGAGGTCCAACTCTACCTGGACGACCTGGAGCACCTTTCTCCCCCTTTTCTCCAGCCTCCCCTGTTGATACAAAAGTAAACAAAAAGAAGAATCATATCAAACCAGGACTATTTTCTGTCAGCAGAAGTGACAAGAATGTCATTCTCTCTAGTGAAAAAAACAGAAGCACATGTGATCTGATTTAACAGCTTTACTTGATGGACAGAAAACAGATTTTTCTTCATGTGATGTAGACACTGGCAAACCCTGTCAGTACATTGCTCAAGTCTTATACAACAGGTCTGGTTTTGTGGATGTTAGTTAAATCACTGAGATCCAAAATGTCAACAGCATAATTCACTTAAGCAGAAGCTTCAGAATCAGAACCCAATTAGCAAACAAACTTCTGTGTTCACCAAACTCTTTCCAAGTCTCTGCTAAGGACATGCTTAAGTGTCAAGTGAAAATGGCTTAACTATGACCTCAAATTAAAAGGAAAAAAATGTCATTTTTGAGACCTATAAGAAGGCACTGCTACATCCATCATGAAAGGACCATTTTGAAGCATGAAAGCATTAACTCCCTGCTCCATATCCTCAGTTATATACTGTGCCTTTTAATCTCTGAGGTTTGAACCATTATGTAGTGTATTTACATACACATAGCTTGTGGTGCATCATTATATTCAGCATATTTAAACACCACTTTCTGTAAAAAGTGTTTGCCTCCCTGGTGCCTTTCATTAAAAATTTGGGGATGCTTAGCTTGTTTTTCCCCCTACAACTGTACTACTACTACTGTAGTCTGCCATTGACATAAAATTAAAATCTCTGACAAGAAGAAGGCTAAAGAATGGTTTATACAGCTGCCTTGGCAAAACCAAGATTTATATGAGGAAGGAGAAGAAAGTTCTATGGCTTCCACAGAAAGTAAAGTGCTGGTATGTAAAATCCAGAGTTAGCACAGCACATATGATGTCCCAACACTATTCCTATGGAGTGAGCATTAGCTGCTTTCCAGGAAGCTGATGAGAACACCACAGCAACAAAGTTAATAGTTATCATGCACCCCCACTAGCCCAGCTCTCTGGCATAGCTGGCAGCTGTGGTTAAGAGAGGAGTCACAGAGCTGACATGTAAAAACATGCCACACCATGGCACATTTCAAATATGCAGCCTCCAGCTCTCTTTCCATCTCTCTCTTTATTGTAGACCTAGGGTGACTGTGAGCTGAACTCAGTCCTCCATCTGTTATATTTTCATTCATCAGCCTGCTCCAGACCATCTTCCCTGCTTTTAGACATGCAAAAATAGGCCATTCTCTGACCTTAATGAGGACAAACGTCACATAATCCCCAGTGAATAATATTGTTAGTATGAAACAGGCTATAATTTAGCACATTTGGGAAGTCACATTTTTATTATCAAGTAACCAATAGGCTTTGTATGATTGCCTTTCACCCCTCAGTGCTGGTTATGAGTTCTTTGCTTCCCAAAGATAAATCCTGACAATGACTTTTCCTTGCTCTCTGGAGGCTGAGAGAAGGCTATTACAGCCTATTGCTTTACATGTTCTTCAGAGTGAAAGCTGTGCATTAGGGATCAATAAAATAGATCACTCTTGCTTCAGGCCATTACACTTGCCTGCATTTATTCTTATAATACGATGACACCGCATTCCTTAGTGTGGGTGTTTTAAAAACTTTCTCCAGGAGGAGATTACTCCTTTACAGGCCCAGCTACAGACCAGTTGACATTTTTTTCTTATCAGCTGTTTTAAGGAGCAAGACCTTGGCCAAGAGGGACAGATCAGTGGTACAGCTCAGCTTTGCTTTATGTAAGTTCCTATTCTTGCTGTTTGTACCCTGAGCATTGTGCAGGTAGAGGAAGTAAAGCCTGTGCAGGTGTCATGGGCAACAAAACAGTTTTCTGTCAAGAAATCTCAATCAATTTAATTTTTCACCAATAAACAATTATGTTTAACTTCTTGATTTGTGAAATAAAGAAAGACACCCCTGTGCCTCCTTTCTGGTCTCCAGTCCCTCAATCTACAACTAAGTCCCTTCACAACACGAGGTTGGGATCTGGTCATTGTGGTCTCCACCCAAGTGATCTGTTGCAGCCTCTTCCACCAGCGACAGTCTCTTAGCACTTGCACCTTTTGCTCAGTGTCCCCTCCATCCCTTCCTGGCTCTTTGCTGCAGCCTCAGCATGAAACAGTACCATTGTTGTCAGCACAATGCAGCATTGTCTATGCAGCTGAGACAGGGCAAGATGTAGTTAGTAGTGCTCCACAGTGTCGAGATGCCCCAAACTCCTAAAAGAAATTTAGCCCTGCCACCAACATGAGCTGTGGTGGGATCATGGGTATCATGACACTACTACTAAGTAGTTCTAGGTTCTTCTTACATCATCTCTGGGAGAGATCTTTCTGAACTCAGGTGATATATCTTACAACTGCTGTTGATTTGCCTCCTTTTGTGAATTCTTTGGGACAGGATTTGTCTATGCTTATATTTGCAACTTCCTACCATAAGCTGTACCATCTACAATGTGCAACAAAAATAGTATACCAAATATTAACTATGTGAGCTATTGAGCATTCCTGGCTAGTGATAACTTCTTTCCATTACTCATATTCCCCATCTAAGTAGATGCATCAAGTGTGGGTGTAAAAAATTGGTTTTTTTAATGTAGCATCAACTTTTTTATCTGCTGAACATCATTGTGACTATTAAGACAACTCCTGCTTTAGACTCTAGAAGAGAGACAAAACAAGATGGCAAACTGTAAGGTTTAAACTTTGAAGGATTCTTCTGTGTTATTTTTTTCTTCACAACAATAGTAACTTCAATTTCATTTGCCCATCAAAAGAAACCGAACTTTAGGAAGAATATGAGTGAGAAGTGTAGTAAGGCTTCATAGTCCATTGCTTTTTCACACACAGCACACACTTTTCATATTATTAACATTGATGGCTTTTTAAAACATGGTTCAGTCTGATGTCTGTATTCTCAGAGCCACGGTTTTTCCCTTACACTTTTCATCTTGCTCCTTTATATTCTTGAGTTAAAAAATAACAAACCCACCAAAACCTTCCCCCCTAAAAAACCCCACCAAAATAACTACAAAAAAAACAAACAGGCAAAAAAATCCACAGAAAAATCAAACCAAAATAAAAATACCCTAAACATACAAACAAACAAAAACAAACACAAACCACCAAAACCAGTCCCTACGACCTGAACTCCTGACCTTAATCTCATTTCTGCTTTTTCTGTTCTTGGTGTCTTTACTGGCTTTCTTCCTCATCCATTTCCACCTCCATTCTCATCTCATGCCCCTCCTGATTTCCTCTTTCACACTGTGAGATCTTAATTGATTTTTTGTCATTTTCCATTTATTTAGTTTCCAGTCTCTCCACTCAGTCTCATTCTTGTGCTCTTCTTTTTTTTGTTTTTTCCCTGATATCTCTTTCTGTTCTTCTAAAATTTCTCCTTTACACTCCCCTGCTTTGGTGTACTTTTCCCTGATTACTTTCTTCATCACCCCATTTGGGCTCCACTTTTTACACCACCTCTTAAGTGTCTATCCTCTGCCATTCACGTATCCTGTGGTCTCCCTAATTTCTTGCATTTTTTTTTTCCCTGTACCTGTTTTTCCCAAATTCTGACAGAGCCATTCCCAGCAGCAGTGTAGCACACTCTTCTCTACCACTGGAGATGTTGCCCAGCAGAGGAGGAGATGGTGCAGATCTAAAAGCTGCAGTGAGCAAATCCTGCTGCACAGGAGCTGAAATTTGGGCACATGGCCACACGTGTGCTCTGTTTAAAGGAAGCCTTGCCCAGTGAAATGGGTTGGAGTTGTGCCAGTGGGGGACAGCAGTATCTCATCACCACCTCTCAGAGCCAGTCCCCCTGATGACAGAATTGAAGCACTGAAAGCTCTTTAGGGAATTTCACATTAACTAGGTCTGTATCAGGCCATTTTGTGATTCACTGAATTTGTACATCAATCTCTCTCAATTTTGCAATGCTTATATCTCAAGAAACTGAGCTAAATCACACAGTGGTCTCCAGGCCTCTTTCTGGTTTCCAGGCTTAGAACTGTCCTCTGCCAAAGGGTCTTGCACACTTTACACACTTTAAAAACCTCTGCTACATATAATAATGCTAATTTTGACTGATTATGAAAACAAGGAAACCAATGCAAAGAAGTCACAAAACTCGTCCCGTCAAGTTCTTTGATATGAAAAATATTTTCAAAGCTTAGGGCTGTGGAGTCTGACCCTTTGACTGATCTTTCACGCAGATTTGGACAACGTATATTTAACTTAGTTGAGCTCTCCTCTGTAAATCACATTAACAGCACTATCTTATTTCTTTTACACAGTAAATATACTAAAAAAATTAAATAACTTTACTCAAGCCTTAGTGAAAGCTCAGAAGGCCTAGATAAAGTGTTGTTCTTTCTAGCAAGAACACCTACAGAAGATCTCCATACTATTAAGATCAAAAGCCAGTTATCAAAGTAAATAGTAAAAATAGCTTTTGGTTGAGTTCAGGCATCCAAAGGTGCATTATTAATATTAATAATAATAATAATAATAACAATAATAGTAGATATTAAAGAATAAAAGTAGTCTTAAAGCCTTTTGGGCAAGCACAGCCTGCATCCCTGTAGCACAATTCTCTTGCCTCGAGCAGAAAGCAGCCACAGACAAATTGGGCAATGTCTGGGGAGAGCAATTTACACCCCAGCCAAACCAGTGGCCAAGCTGGGCTCACAATTTAGCTGTGTGAACAACTGCAGAACAGAACTGAGCCTCACTTCTCCCAGTCAGTTAACCAGAACAGACAATACCTGCAGTCCAAACTGTGACCCTCAGGCAACTCGGGAAAGCCCAGATTTGTACAGATAAGATTAATGGCACCAATTCTGGCTAGGTGGGTTTTGTGACACTAGAAGGCATAATTAAAAACTAAAAGGTTTGTTGTTTGATTCTTACACAATTTTTTTTTTACTATTGTTGACGATAAGTTAGTGGTTTTCATGGAGATTTTTGTCCTTAGTTAAAAAGTATTTCCTCATGTTCAAAAGTGTTATATTTCAACAGATATGTCATAGCCTTTACAAGGAGAATTATTGTTATTCACTAAACAGGGCTGGAATTTCAACAACCATAATAGATGTTGTTGTTTTAGAATGCTAATTCTTCCCAGTGGTTGATTTCTTATGCAAGATATATTTTTTCCTATGAAAAGATAAATTATTTATTACACCACCTCCTTTGGGCAAGAGTCTGGGGGCATATTCCATAAAAATGTTGCCTTTTTCCACAAAAACTATAGAAATGCTAAAAACCTAACTAATGTTGGCTTTCTTCTAAGAGGTATTTGAGCTTTCAAAAAAAACAAAAGACAAACAAAAGACAATAAAACACAAAATAATTCCTATTTACATTGCAAAATGGAAATGAAAACCTCTCCAGGTATAAAGTAGGGCCTGATTTTACAGTTTTTGGGTATGTGTACCCCTGCTCAGTATAAACACAGAGAGAGCAACCAGGCAATGTATAAGAATAACAAGCACTAGTGATCACAAAAAAATCTGGGAAACTGGCATGCATTCTCTGAACAATTTAATTTCACCTTATGGATCTTAAAACTCCATTTTTAAGGAGGCTACAAACAGGGGCAAGTAAGAGGACAGTTGAGAGGCACCTTCTTTGTCTCTGTTAAAACTGTAAGTTATGCAAATGAGCCTGTTAGAACAAAAAGATTAATATTTAAATAATGAAGTAGGCGTTCACATTACCTTTGAGGCCTGGAACAAGAATCTGAACAGAGCAGGACTCCTCTGCAATGTGTTGAGGATATCCAGATCTTAGCAGTGACAGGAAGGCAAGGCTAATTAGAGTCACCAGGAAAACCAGATCTCTCTTCATAATGAGCACTTACAGGTCACTGACTCCTAAACAAAAGAATGAATAAACAGTTACAAGAATTCCAAAGGCTTTCAACCATTTCTGAACACATGCAGCGTCCCACTACAAATACAATATATATTTGTGTGCCATAACCCACACAGCATGAGAAGCACATGTGCAGCTCCTCCAAGCAGGTTATTTGTTCCTCAGACACACATGAAACAGGCAGCAGTACATTTAGCAGGTTTTTTTTTTGCTGTTAAACTGGATGGAATAAATCTCAGGAGAAATTTAATTAAACAAAATGGAGATTAAATAATGCTAATAATAGGCATTCTGTGTTCAGGATTTCTCATTGGAGGCAGCAATCTGGAAAGGTGAAAGGAGATAATACAGCATGCAGGCTTAGAATCACAGAATTGCTTAGACTGGAAAAGACCTCTAAGATCATCAGCCAGCCATTAACCCAGGACTGCCAAGTCCACTACAAAGCCATGTCCTCATAAGTGCCACATCTACATATCTTTGAAATATGTCCAGGAGTGGTGACTCAACCCCTTTCCTGGGCAGCCTGTTCCAGTGCTTGACAACTCTTTCTATGAAGTAATTTTTTCCTAATATACAATCAAAACTCCCTCTGGCACAACTTGAGGCCATTTCCTCTTGTTCTATTTCTTGTAACCTGGGAAAAAAAAAGACCATCTCCACCCTGGCTACAACCTCCTTTCAAGTAACTGTAAAGAGCAATAAGGTCTCCCCTGAGCCTACTTTTCTTCAGGCTAAACCCCACTCCTCACAGGCCTTGCGCTCCAGACCTTCACCAGCTCTGCTGCCCATCTCTGGACACACTCCAGCACCTCCATGTGCTTCTTGCAGTGAGGGGCCCAGAACAGAACACAGGATTTGAGGTGCAAACTCACCAGTGCCAAGTACAGGGGGAAAATCACTGCCCTGCTGCAGTCCTGTTGGCCACACCATTGCTGATAAAGGGCAGGATGTCACTGGCCTTCTTGGCCACCTGGCTTTGACCTGAAGGCTGTCAGTGCTAAGATCCCACTCAGAGTGGATACTGCTTTAAAGGAGCAATGCAGTAACAGATGAGACCTGAAACTTCACTTCTCATCTATCTGAGCACTGGAATTGTGCCCAGGCAAATTGTCTGGTACAATAGCCCTCATATAAGTCATTGAGGGTGGAAGGCAGGTAATATTTCACTGTATCATTCAATAAAGTTGAATCAGAGTCTTCAATAACTCCTGAAGAGAATCTCCTTTGAAACATATACTAGTCTAAGCTGACAAGTGAAATGTCTTGCCTGAAATTAGGCTGTGAAGAGATGTCTCAGAAAACAACCAAACAGAAATGGAGTTTGTGTGAAAGGACTGTCAAAAGATAGTATTTAGGGGGCCTGTAAAAATACTTTGACAAAGTGTTATTTATGTATTTCTGATATGTTTTTCCAGTCTGTCCTTAACCAAAGCTCTGTACTCTACAAATAAGCTGAAAGTCATAACAGGTTTTTATCATCTTTTATAGCCACCATAAGGACATGTGCATTTTACATCTAGAGCAAGAAGATTGGGCTATATTAATTTCCATTCCCTGAATCCCTTCAAAAATAAGTCAAGTAGGATTAGGCACAGGTGTGGGACCCAGTATGCGGGTCTATATGTCTCAGCATATTGGGGGTCTAGGAGAGCAGAGCTGTTATTTTTGGGATGGCCTGAAGGTATTAACTGGCATAACAGATGTCTTAGCAGCAAGGCCAAGGAGATCATTTTGGAGTTGGGGGAATAAAATGTCCCTCTGAATTACTGTCCAGTTTGTGCTTCCATTATCCCCTAGGAGATCATAGCAAGGGAATCTGATGGGAGCAGACTTTGTCTCCTTCCAAAAGTGTGGAGGGCATTGCATGAATTACAGACCAGGTCTCTCTGCCTCACAACCGCCTTGCTACAACATCTGTTTCTACATCCACACTGAGGGACAGGGGCTGCCAAAAGCTCTTACTGATCATCCAGATCTGGTGCAAAGACTTGTATATGCTGAGTCCTTTTTGACGCAAATCCTTTCCCCAGATTTTCTTCCAAAGGAGAGAGACCTGCAGCTGGAGGACCACACCTTAAAAGGTGATATCTATGCTTAGATCTGGGAAGAGCTCTTGGGTCAAGAGATCCCAATACAGACATAGTCTAATGGCTACAGTCAGGCAGGAAACCCTAGGGAAAAGGTAATCCTGGGTAATACTGGGCAATTTTCCCATGGGGCAAGGGAGGAACAGGGACTATCTGAGTATTTCCACAACCTATAATGCATCCTATAATGGGTCAGGCATAAGCTACTTCATAGACAAGCTTTGCCAACCAGGAAGAATACCTAGGAGTGTGGAATGGCTGCTTAAGTATTTAGGCCATGATAAATTTTGTCACAATTGCAGCAATTAACACTTGATGCTTCTCAAGAGTACAGGACAAAATTGACTTTCACCACCCATGGACGAGGAACGAGAGCTAGAGGAGAAGGTACATAAAGCCATGCATCTGTTAGAATGTGTCCAGAGGAGGGGACTTTGGTCACACTTTTGTGACCAAAGATGATCAGAGGCCTGGACCACCTCTCCTATAAAATCAGGCTGAGAGAGTTGTGGCTCTTCAGCCAGGGGAAACATCACTGGAGCCTTCCACTACTTAAAGTGGGCTTATAAAAAAAGGAGGAGAGTGACTTTTTACACAGACAGACAGTGATAGGGTAAGGAGGAATGGCTTTAAACTGAAAGAGATATTTAGATTAGATAGAACAAGCTTCCCAGCGAAGTTATGGAGGCCCCATCCCCAGAAGTGTTCAAGGCCAGATTGGACAGAATCCTAAGCAATCTGGTCAAGTAGAAGATTCCCTGTCCATAGCAGGGGTGTTGGAATTAGATCTCTAAGGTCCCTTCCAAACCAAACTTTTCTATGCTTCTATGATAAAGGTGGACATAATGTACTGCAATAGTCGGGGAGGAAAAGGAAAAGTAATGGAAATTTGGATGCCATGGAGAAGCAGCAACCAGGCCAGCTCCCCAGGGCTCTGACAGATAAAACCTGCAGGAAAACATTTGCTGTGTTGCTGAACTCTGCTTTTCTGGGCTACAGCCTCCCTTGCCTATGCACAGGGCCAGCCACAAGTACTAGAAACCAGGTCAAGTCACCAGCTACTTTACAGCTACTTTCTAAGGTTATGCAAACTGTTCAACCACAGACTTGAGGTAGTTTTGAAGTATCAATCTCTGTGAGAGCACTTTTCTCCAAAACACCCTCATGTGCATATTAAAGTTACTTTAGAAACATTAAGCTTTAATCTGGCTACATCGCCTCAGGCCATTCCTAACCCCAGGGTACAAGGAACTTGTCCACAGTGGGCAGTCCTGCCTCTTTTTTGTCTCTGATTCACACCAGTAGCAAGCAACTGGGAGCAACAAAAACTAGTCAATAAGAAAAGTTGAGGAAAAGGCTGCTTATCCAGATCTTCTAAGGTTTCTAAGGCCAGTCTTGGAATTTGAATAGTCAATTCTAGTTGACTGCAAAATGAAGGGGTCCTTGTCAGGAACATGATTTGCCATGCCAAATGAGGGACCAGCACTCCCTCATGGAGGAAAGCAGTGAGCTGTGGTTGCCTCAGACAGCCAGGATGTGCCTAGAAATCTCAGCAGCAGCTACCCTTGAGAGACAGGGTTTGCAGGCTGAGCAAAAACATGATGTAGGTCCTACCTATCTTAGCCTGCAGAACCCACCCTATAGCCCAGGAGAACACCTGGTGACCAGCCTGCAGGATATCCTAGGCAGAATATCCCACTGTTTTTATGCAGTGGGGGCACTTCAGGATTCAGAAGATCAGACAAAGAGGCTTTCAAGCCAAGTGATTCAGATACCCAGCTGAAAACCTAGAAATTAGGCAGTTTCAGCACGAGCACCTGGCAGACTAGTGATAAGGATTCTTGATGGACAAATTGGAGAGTGGAATGAAATGGCCTGAGATGGAAGAAGAAATTGAAATTAGGATGGTGCTCCAGTCTCTGCATTAGTGAATAAAAGACAACATCATCTCCTCTGTCTGCATTTTATGAGGATTTAGATGAATCCAGACTCCAACTGAAAGATCAAAGGCTCCAGGTATGTTAAATATTAATCTGCCTTTGCAAACTCCTACATAGCTCAGAGATGAGACAGACATCAAGCAGCAGAGAACTGTCAAGGCTGCTTTTTGGCTCTGCTCAGCAGCCACATATGAAGGATATTCTGGGGAAAAACAAAATCTCCAACAAAGCTTCAGCTCATTCCCTGCTGTTGGGCTTACATGTCTCAGAGACAGAGGGGATACAACCCCACCCTGCCTCATATTAGCTCAATTCACAGAGGACTTGTTCTAGAAAAAAGAGCTTCTTCAGTGTCATTCAGGTAACAATACCCAGAAAAAAAAGAATACTTAGGGAAATGACCTTGGTCTGAGAAGAGCCATTAACAGAAGGAATCTCTGAAGAAGTTGCATATTAAATACTCAATAGAATCTGTGGCTGCAGTAAAGGAACACATAAATAGTAGAATCAAACCAAAAGCACTTTGTGTATCACTTTCTCCATCTCTTCCTGCTTTCAAAAGAAACTTTCTGCAGCTAAAATTTCTTTCTGTGATTGAAATAACAGTTTGATCTGCAGGTACGTGCTACAGCAGTACCTTTCACTTTAAAATCCTTGAAAATTTCTTGCCTTTCTGATCTACTTTCAAGCCCTTTCAGACCTAGATGCATCAAGTCATTTAAGAAAACTAAATCCTACCGAAACTGGACCTCAGATAAAGGAGGACTAGCCTGTTTTTTCAAACATTGTTTTGGCCCTGGGTATTTGAAGTATCTTCAGCATTGGTAAAACCAATGCCAGAGAGAAACCTAGACATGTTCAGCACTTGTAAAAGTATGAATATTTTCTCACTGTCTATGCAGAGTCAAAAGTGAAATTTATGTCCACTAACAGTGGCCATTAAATCAGTGAAAGCTGTGAGTATTGAAA